TCACGGCCGTACTGTCCTCTGGGGTTCTGTGTCTTGGAGAGAGCCAATAGCTGCAGGGGGCCCCTATACTGAACACTGTCTCCACATTTTCCACAGGAGTTGGTCCTGGAAGATATCTCGCTGCTGAGGGTGACCTGGGAAGCAAGGGAGGGTCTTCTACTACAATGCGGCTTCTGCCCTGGCCCATATGCAGCTTGCCTGTGTGCAGCAATGGTCCTCCCGCCCCTCATGGCACAGTGGCGTGTACATGTTAGCCTGACTGGGACAAGGAGCACAGTAACTCTGCCAAGGAACCTGCGCAAGCGGATTGCCCAGTTTCTGCATGAGACCTTTGAAGAGATCACTGAGGCCGATTACCGCGATGTGAGAGAGCACATCAATGCCCTATTCCGCATCTAGGCATGCATGCAGCCCTAACCCTCCTCGCCCTAAGAGCCTGCACTGAACAACTTCCTTCCCAAAATAAAAGCCACTTACTGGGCACCTCCTCTATCTGCCCGATGGTATCATAATTCCTATGGCTGGAGCGCAGCTGGGACTGGACAGCTTCCTCCCCCAAACACTGATGAGGTTCAGCACCTCGCCATTGCTCCATACTGGGGCTCGCCTGGCACGTGGAGGTGTGGTCACCTGGAAAGATTCGCTGAGAGCACTCCATGCCTTGCTGACAAAACAGGAAGGGGATTTTCAAAATTCCCAGAGAATTTAAAGGGCGGGTCTGATGGTTGGTCACCTGAGGCCAGGGCAGTAGAGTTCAAAGTGATGACCAGAGTGTCTAGACCAGGCATTGTGGGACACTTCTAGAGGCTGATCAGAGCACATTAATAGACCAGGGTGTCCACACTGGCGCTGCAGTGCTCCATCTGGGGTGCATCAAGCGTTTTGCTTCTCATTGAGGTGGATTACCAGGAGTGCTCCAGCCGCAGAGTCCGGGTGCTCTACGTGCCTTGCCAGTGTGGACGCATCATGAGTTAGGGCACCCAGGACTGCTTTAATATGCTCTAACTCGCCAGTGTAGCCAAGTCCCTTGTCTGTGATGAGCAGTGTGTATAGGTACTGGCTTCAGCAGATCTTGAATTTCATGGTTTTTGTTCTTTTTGATATTAACAGATTCTGCATCCTTCCTCCTGGCTGTGATCAGGAAGTCTTTAATTTCTTCAATTTTGTGTGGCGTGGTGATGGGCAGAGCTCCAGGCAGTTGTTGCTCAAGCAGCCACAGACATGATGGTGAAAAGCTTGTAAAAGGAGGAATAGTGTGAAGACATAGCAAAATACTAGTATTATCACTGGACTATTGAGTTTGTTGAAACTGCAGCAGCAGTGAATTACGGGTCTGAATTTTCTCAACATAGACACCCTGAAGATGTATGTATTTCTGGAATGTAACCCAACCCTGAACAATGTAGTCTCCTGCTGAAGTCCCTGTTTAACTTTCAGCTGTAACATGAACAAACAAAAAACAAACACCTGTTTAGTTACTGTGATTTGCATTGTAATGGTTTTCAAAGAAAAAAGAGATTAGAGCAGTTTCACATGCCAAATAAGTTAATTGGTTTGCATCAAATAGTACAAGTGACTTAGGCCTTGTCTACACTGGCTCTTTATAGCGCGGCAACTTTCTCACTCAGGGGGGTGAAAAAACACCCCCCTGGGTGCTGCAAGTTTCAGCACTATAAATAGGGTGACCAGATCAGAGATATAAAATATCGGGATGCGGAGAGATCGGGGGGGTCGGGGTGAGCTAAAAAAAAAGGGGGGGCGGAGCAAAAAAAAAAGTTTTCAAAGGGCCGGGGCATTAGCAGGCCCCGGCCATGTGCTCTGCCCTCCCCACGGAGCCTCCCACCCCCAGGCCTGCCCCGGGCACATGCGGCGTGCGGTGGGTCTGGGCAGGGGCAGCGCAGAGCAGGAAGGGGCCGGGTGGGCGGCACGGGCCGATCCCCGCTGCTGCTGGGGAGC